GTTGGATGAGTCTAATGGTGATTACGAAGGTACAGCAGCTTGAAAAACTTACTCTGATTGTTCTGATAAGAAAAGGACTCCCTGAATTTGTTGGTGAAGGCTTAAAACTAAACACAGAGGCCTACATCAAGTGCCTTGAGGACATAGTGCTGCCCTGGGTCAAGAGGGTAATTGCTGGGAGTGCTTATGTCTGGCAACAGGACTGCACCATGCAACCCACACAGGAGAACCCAGTCATGGCTGTCAGACAATTTCTTTGACCACACCACCCCTTACATCTGATCACCTAACTCCTCAGACTGCAACCCCCTTGATTATTATGTGTGGGGTACAGCTGAGTGAGAGACCAACAAAACTCCTTGTAATATCAAAAAATGAACTGAAGGCAAACATGGCAAGGAGATCATTCAGAAGAGTTGCAGGAGATTCTGAAGTCATCTGGAGGCCATGGTTGAATCCAGTGGCAATTTTATTGAATAAATTTACTCTTTTGTATTTTGAATATTTTTGTGTAATTTTGGTAAATATATTTTTTAAAATGGGGTGTCAGTATTATTTTCATTTTCGTGTAATTTAGACGACAATTTATCCATCACACTCTGTATAACGGTCATATTTATCAAGTAGACTGTATTTAATACATTTAAGGATCTTAATTATGTCGACTGTATTTAATACATTTAAGGATCTTAATTATGTCGACTGTATTTAATACATTTAAGGATCTTAATTATGTCGACTGTATTTAATACATTTAAGGATCTTAATTATGTCGACTGTATTTAATACATTTAAGGATCTTAATTATGTCGACTGTATTTAATACATTTAAGGATCTTAATTATGTCGACTGTATTTAATACATTTAAGGATCTTAATTATGTAGACTGTATTTTACACAACAGTCACAATGGTCATAATTATCATTTATACTATCTAGCATATTCAAGGATCTTAATTATCATATAGACTGTATGTAGCACAGTTAAATGTCATAATTATCATGTGTACTATTTAACACATTTAATTATCATACTTTCGATTCTTAGTGTCCATTTTATTACTCAATTCTTGAAGAACATCCCTGATAATAGTTCTTAAAAGCATTGAATAAAAAAAATGCAAGACTTGGTTCCTTTTAAAACTGACTTAATATAATAGATTATTCTATTATGTGCTGGTGCTGAACATAGAAGTTATTAACCAAGATTTTTACCACTAATAGATATTAAAGCATAATTTAGAGCTCTTTGCTAAAGTGGGAGGTGTATTCTCTTGCTAGGTTTTAACTAGATACTGTATATAATTGAGTACAGTGTGAATTTTTATGATCAGGTTTTTTTTTTGTTTGTTTGTTTTCTTGTTTTTTTTTTGTTTTTTTAGACTAGGTGGTCAGATTATATGTAGGTAATTTTATTTTTCATTTTCAGTGACCAGTTGGAGGGATTAAAATTGATGCAAAAAAGTTCAGTGGTTGCACTGTACATGAAGTTGGCTTATATATGAATATATAGACCATTAAAAAAAACAGAACATTAATGACATCATATAGCTGAAAAATCTGATACCATATAGGAAAAATTAATAAGTCATCATTTGTAGACTGCCAATAATGAAAAAGATTTTTCCTGTCTTATTGGACTTTGCATCAAAATGAAATTTGCTTGCTTAAATTGAAGACAATGATTTAATTTTGAGAATTACTGAACTGTAGTCGATTCAGACATTAGCAGTTGGGTGAGGAAATCAGATGATAGCATTGGTCCATTTAAATTTTTATTAATGCTAATTGATCGCTTACTGATATGGCTTAGTTGTTAGAACGTAGAATTGGGAGTTGAAAGGTCGTATGGTAATGATGGTTATTATAAGAAGGTTAGAAAAATGGTTTCAGATAGTACAATGCACTGTAGTAGTCAGTTTGGTTTTTCTACAGAAATGTACCTCTCCAAGAAATTTTCTCTTCATATTGCTGTCGAATAAGCATTCCAGATCATTTATATTGAAAAAAAAAAAATTTTTTTTAAATTTTCTAAATCAGATTGTGATATAAATTTATTGTAAATTGATCCTGCTATGAGGGGGCAAAGTAACAACCCCCCCCCAAAAAAAAACTATGTTCATACCACGTGATAAAGCATATACTTTCTTACAAAATTTCAAATAATATCAAGTTACAATAAAAAAAGTTAATATTTATATAATTTCAAACATATTCTTATTTACCTTATTATTTATTATTGTTTTATTTCCTTTAATTTCTCGTGTATACTCATTTCTTTCCAGGGCCCAACCAGAGACCTAAGGTCAGAAATGACATGACATTTTCCATTGTGCATTTTTTTTGGAAAGAAAAAAAAAAAAAAGAACAAAACCCCCTAAAAATAACCTAACATCAGACATATTTTACATAGATAAAACCCTTCATAAGGTGTGAGATGTACTAGTGAGAACAATTTTTTGTATTTCTTTAAGGCATAGGCTACCAGGTGTCATTTCAGTGTGTCTATTAAAACTTTTTCCAATCAAACTGAGGGCTCCAACTAATACTGGAATTGTTAATGACCTCATGTGCCACATTTTTGAGATTTGAGATATCATTATTATTATTATTTTATTTCCTTTCCTTTGATTTCTGGTAGATATTAATTTATTTTGGGTCCCAACCAGAGACCTAAGGTCAGAAATGGCATCATGACATTTTCCACTGAACATTTAAAAAAAAGACCTAGGATCACATAGATTTTATATAGATAAAGCCCTTTGAAAGGTGCGAGCTGTACTTGTGAGTACAACTTTTTGTACTTCTTAAGGCTTGGGCTACCAGGGATCCCTTCAATGAGTCTCTCGGAACCTTTTCCAGTCAAACCGAGGACTGCAACTACAACTGGAATTTTCTATGTTCTGATGTGTCACATTTTTGAGATTTCACTTTCAAGGTCCTTATACTTTGATAATTTTTTTGAAGATCAACAAAGATATATTACAGTTTGTAGGGACTGCCATGTTAATAAGAAGGCATATTCTGTTTTTGTGGTTTCTAATCACAATGTCTAGGCAATTAGCTTTGATTGTTCTGTCTGTGTGTATTGTAAAATCTCATAAAATTGTTACAGGTCTGTAACCTGGTCTGGGTGGTGTTCATACCAATTTCTTGTAGTTTCCTTTCCGTAAAAGTTACAGATTTTCCAATGCAGATATTAGCTCACTCTGTCATGCTGGGTTTTATATGCAGTGGCAGGGCCAATACCATGCAACCTGATACAAGATGGTCAGTTGTTTCTAGATATTTATCGCAAAATCTGCATTTTGGGCTAACACAATTTTTCAGTATGCGTGCATGATAATTTCTAGTTAGTAAGCATATTATTATTATTTCCTTTATCTTTTATTTATTTTTTGGCTTCTATGGGTGGGGATCAATTTACAATGAATTTACATAGAAAATTGCACCCCTCTTAAAATTGAGAAAATGAAAAAAAAATTACTTATCCATGATCTGGAAAGCTTAATCTATAGTAGGAAAAAAAAAAAATTTAAAAAAATTACTATTTTTTTGGCAAGGTAACTTTCTATTGTAATTCTGTCAGTTCAGTATTTATTAAGTCCAGGTAGACCAATGATTTTTAAGTAATTTGTGTTTTTTGCACTTATTTTAACCCACGTAATTATAAGCCGACTGTCTATTTGCAGGCCTACTAGGAGACTTAAAAAAAGTTCTTATCAATTGTTCAGCCCATTCTAGAGCAGAATTGTCTAAGAATAATGTCTATATGATATACTTACAAACAGAACTGTACATCCTTTATCCAAAACCAACAGAAAGAAATACTGCATTCTATGCTGTTTATGTTAGGTAGCATAAAGAATTTAATACAAACTTGGATCTTTGTGCCTGCAAAGAAAACAGAATGTCAAAAGGACATGTTTTTTTTTCCATTGACACTAGTATCATTTTAACTACCTTCACTCCTCGACAGTGTTTATCGCTTTAAAAAGCAAAGATTAGAATTGGAATAAAACATGATGAATGTGAATTTATACATTTTTTTGTTCTTGAGAATTTACAACAAAAGCATTAAACACTATTTATTAAATTTCTTTTATTTACAGGAATAATATTATATTTACAACATTCTAAAAACTAATACAATTAAAGCTAATGCAATAATTATCATTTATCAATTTATAAAGAAATAAATATGAAAACAATTTTATATTTATAAACATTTATTAAATTATTAAAATATATAAACTATAAGGAAATCCTTATTTATTATTTTATAAAGTTTGAATCAATTGGCAATTAGCCAACGTTTTACCAATCATTCATCTAATAAATAAATAGTGTTTATTAAATGTCCTTTTGACACAATGTTTTTGGTTTGTGAGCATGAAGGCCCAAGTATGCCGAACTTAATTTGAGAATTATCTATTTAATTTGTATTTTTAACTATCCCAATACTTTAAAGTGGTAGGAGATGTTTAATTAGTTAGAGATAAATGATTAAATTATTATTATTTGTTCTCTTTATGTGGCTTGGAAAATCATTAGCATTTACTTAGCCCTAGAGAATTGTTAGCATTTACTTAGGCCGAAAATCGTTAGCACTGAGTTAGCCCACAAAATCAGTAATGTTTATTTAGTCAAAAAAACTGGTAGCATTTACTTAGCCAGAAATAGCAGTAACATTTCTTGTTTAGGGTTGGCTTTTCAGTTCCTTCTAAAGTCTTCTCATTCACTACCAGTTGCCCCTTTGTGGTACCTTAGTGGCATTATCACCTTGCTTGGGGAGAATTGATTAAAAAAAAAAAAAATTAGCCAGGAAAATTGTTGAGTTTGCCTGAAAATTGTTAGCATTGAGCTATAGTTTGTATGTCAATGCTATCAGAATAATTAGTTAATTTCTTTATTTCTGTCAGTAATTTATTAATTGCATAAGCATTTTTCTGTTTTTTTTGAGATAATTTTTGCTAATAAAATTTTAAATTTATTTCAGAGCACTGATTGATAGCCTGATAACTGATCAAATCAAAATGGCCGTGTAGGTGAGAAAAAGAAAGGGGAAGAATGAAACCAAAACGAAACTTTCACTTGCCTGATAAGATGAAAAAGATGAAACTGTCGAATGTCAATGACCACAATTTTCTTCATGCCCATCACACCAATTTTTAATATTTTTTTTTTTTTTTTTTATATACTGCTGGCATATACTTCTCTAAGCAGAAAGCCCACATACGGACCAAAAAAATAAAAAAAAATGCCAAATAATAAAAATTGGCCCTAAAGCAAGCATCTACACTTTTTATGTTCATCAATTTTTTTTTTTTTTTTGTAAATAATTTGTTCTGTAAAAATAATACTGGGAAAAGAAAAAAAGCAAAGAAAGAAATCAAAATGTTCCAATATGTGACATGAGGCTGTTTTATGTAATAGAAAAAAATATGGTTTGCGTATTTGTAAGTTTTGTTTAAAAGCTGTGAAGTTGTTAGGAAGATATGCTACTGTCTCTTTTCTTGTATTATCCCCTCTTTTTCTGCAACTTCCTTTCAAGAGGAGACAAAGAAACACCTTCCCAAACTTGAATAAAATTATAAATTCTAACTCTTTTAGAAAAGAAGAACAAAAAAAATATAAGAGAAGTTTTCTAATTTGAAAAATTAAAAAAAAAAAAAATTTTTTAAAAATTCTTAGACTATTAAACGGAGTTGGAAATCAGTTTTTTTACTGATAATTGTACTATCATGTATTAGTACTTATGACAGTGATCCTGATTACTAAACTATAATTTTATCTTCTACTTTTTCTTTAGTACACACTACTAAAGAGAGGGAAAAACATTTTATATAAGTGGTCATTAATATATCTGCAAAGTTCTCAATTTTTTAAAACACTATAAAGGAGAGGAAATTGTGGAGAGTCATGATCGCCAACATCCTGAAGGGGCATGGCACTTTGAAGAAGAAAACTGCCAATTATGATCTGATATTGAAGTTTAAAGTTCATCCCTACAATGATGGGGTCAACATGGTCAGATTACAGATAATGACTGTAGAAGTCATATAAAAAAAGAAAAAAAAAACATTTTTTTTTTTTTTATTCTTTAAATTTTTTTGTATGAATTAAAAAATAAGGCTGTCAAGTAAAATTAACCATTCCCTATCATCCTTTTTTCTTTTTTTTTTTAAAAAGAAAAAAAAAGCATTTACTTGTCATCTGATTATGATTATTCACTCCCACTCCCCTCTTCACTTGTATCTAAAAATCTAAAAGCTTGATGTTTAGAAACTGCAAAAATCAAAGCAGAAGAAAGACCCTTCCCCTTCCAAAAAATACAGGTTGGTAATAGATACTGTACAAAAATAATTTTAATAGACTTAATTCTGTCTGATAGCCAATTATCTGGTACTGCTTGCCATTCTGAAAATGCTTGTGGCTACTGGATGTGATGAGGGTACAGGGAGTGTGTTTCGTATATATGATGCCACCTTCAACAGAATTCTCGAACATTCTGAAAGAAATGGTGGTTTGGTAAGATAGAAAATAACAAATTGGTGCAACAAAAAAATAAAAATAAATAATAAACTACTTTTGGTGAAACACTTATTTATTTTTTCTCTTCTTTCATTTTTGTGATATCTACATTGTAATAATGCTCAGTATGAATTTCTATATTGTGACTTTGTCTTGAAAAAAATTTGGAAGACATTCTTGGGTTTATTTGAGGCAATGATCACTTTGTTTTTATTTTTTTATATATTTATTTTTTTTTTTTACTGTTGTTCACCCAGCAAAAGCCTGTAGAGCTACTCAGATAGTGTTACTGAATGAGGTTGTTGAAGGTAGATAACTCTTGGCCCTAGACTTGAAGAGGTTAAGATTGTGGTGATTGAGCAAGCATCCTCTTGGGAGTTTGTTCTGCAAAGTAGTGGTTCTTCAGAAGAAGCAGTCTGAATAAAATTTTCTTTTTGTGAAAAGAATGAGGACAATTTGATCCTCTAAATGTGATGTAGCAGGTCTTAGCTGTAAAGGTCTGAACTGGTTGAACTAAGGATTGTATCTTGCCAAAACATTTTCCATGGAAATAGAATAGCAAGAGACTTGTAATGTTTCATCTGTGGAGAAAGGGGCTGCAGTGTGGGAAATAATTCATGACACACAAAACCTTGTAGATGCTTTTGATTAATACTTTCTTTTGTTTTTAACATTACAGCTTGTACTCTTAATCAATTGACAATTTTTTTTATTCTACCTTATGTTTGTTTATAGGAGGGTAAGTCAAAAATTATCTGCACTTTCACCATAACATATCTATAGACACTGCCTTCTGGTCATGTGTGCTTAGAGTTGGGACTATTGTGGTCATGTGATTGAAGTTCAAGCTTGATCATGCAGATTTTCTTGTTGCTGTTACAGTGTAAACATAGCCACTCTGCAAGCAGTGTGCACCAAGGAGGAGCAAAAAGCAGTGATCCAAATCTGCAGAGAACATGCTACCTCATCGATGATAACTTGCTGATTTGCCATTACCGTCCTTCGAGCTTGCTGGATCTTCTTGTTAGTAGTAGAGGTTAATGGGCACTCTACTCCTTTGTGCGTTACGCTTGTCAGGCTACTTTTAAACTTCTCAATTTACTCATACACACTTCTACATGGTAGTGCACTGTCACCATATTGTGTTAAATGTCTCCAATGAATTTCATCCCCTGATACACCTTCCAACCAGAGAAATAGGATCACTGTTTTTTGTTCCTCTTTGGTGCAGACAGCTAGCTGAGCAGCCATGTTTCCACTGTAACAGCAGTAAGAAAACTAAAGCAATCAAGCTCAAATTTCGATCACGTGACCACAAATAGTACCAACTATAAGCAGACATGAGTTAAACCAGTGTGATAAACCTAAAGATATGTTTAGCGAAAATTAATTTTTAACTTGCTATTTACATAAGTATGGGCTGGTCTCTGTACACTTAGAGGATATTTGGCTTCCAAAACAAACACTGTATGGTGAACTGATGCAAGCTGCACAAATGGTACAAAGATTGCCTCAAAGACAGAGACACCAGCATTTGGGAAGATCTTTTATCTGAAATCTTTGCTTGGAAGACACTATTAGTGACTGGTATGAACAACTTTGAGAAAGGATTGAATACGCTGAGCTAAAACAGGCTGCTCACTACATGGAGAAGGCAAACTCCCACCCAGGAAAAGCTACTAAAGAGATTCACCTGTGCAGAATGTGGGTGCATATCTCTTGAAAGGTTCAAGACCATATCTAACTTGCTATTCCCCCCTCCCAATTATGACAATTCATAGATAATAAAGAAAAGGAATCTGAAGAGATGATCTCCTACAACCTGAAGGGACACAGCATTTAAAATAAAAAGTGCTATTTTGTGTGGGGCTATGTAAATTTCTGGTTTGTTCTACATAAATATTGTGAATTGGCCTTTATTACAATAAGAATGAAAAAAATGAGTTAAAAAATAATGAACAAAATAGAATCATACTTATTTGAGAGAGAGCCTTGATTATAACAATGTTAAAAGTGATCTTTTATAACCAATCTCTTGATATTTACTATAATATTTAGCTAAGAAAGGGCATTTCCTGATGCTTTCAGTTAATGCTTGTTATAGACATTAAAAGAAAAATATATTCCTCTATGTATAGGTGCATCAATAATTCCATAGCCTAATGATGGAAAGGCATTTACAGTGCCATGCAAAAGTTTATGACACATTACAAATGTTTTTTTAGGTATTTCTAATACAGTTACATTAATTAAACTTTTACTGCTCGTAGAACATATATATTTAGGTATTCAGTCAAACAATCAGATTTATAAAAAAAAAAAAAAAATTCAATAAAGTATCCCACGAAGAAAAACCGATATTTAGTAACTCAAAAGTTTACAACACATTTTCTTTATCTACAACAGAATATTTTTTTTTAAATGAAAGTGTTCAAATTTTACTAGAATGTTTCAAATTAGGATGGGTTTGTTGTTTTTTTTAATTTTATGATTTTTTAATTTTATGATTACTTTTAGGAATGATTAAAACTATTGCATCATTCTTTTTCTTTCAACTATCCTTTAAACATTGGCAAAATGGGGAAAAGCAAAATAATTGCTCAAGACCTCCGTAAACGTATTGCTGACCTTCATACAAATGGACTTGATTATAGGAAAATATCTAGTCAGTTAAATGTGCTATTGAGTTGAGTTGGTACGATAGTTCGTCACTGGAAGACGTGTCATGCCATTCGTAGACCCCCCCCCCTTCCCCGGGGCTCTGGTCGTCCTAGAAAGGTAACGGAACATACGGCAAGATTACTGGCGAGAAAAGTTGGCAACGAGCCGCGAGTTAGGCTTAAAGAACTTCAGGGAGGACTAGAAGTAAGTCGAGTAAAAGTGAGTACGGATATAATTAGTCACTCACTGCGACGATATGACATCTTTTCGGGGACTCCAAGAAAAAAATTCTTGTTAAACGAAAACACGTTCTTGCCAGACTGGATTTTGCAAACGAGCATTGTATCAAACCTACATCATTTTGGGAAAATATACTTTGGTCAGACGAAACGAAAATTGAACTTTTTGTCAGACATGCTATAGCAAAGGTCTGGAGAAAGAAGGTTACTGAATATTCGCCGAAGAATACTATCCCAGCAGTAAAATTTGGAGGCGGAGCAATCATGATCTAGGGTTGCTTTAGTGCCCAAAGTGTAGGGAACATTGAAATAATAGTAAAGGAGGATGAATGGAGCATATTACTTGAATATTTTGGAGAGAAACTTACGTCAGAGTGCACATTCGCTGGGCTTGAAACTAAGTTGAGACTTTCAAGAAGACAACGACCCTAAACTTACTGCAAAGCTTACAAAATCATGGTTCAAATAAAATAGACGTTCTAAAATAGCCAGGTCAATCTCCAGATTTCAATCCGATTGAAAATTTATAGAGAAAGCTGAAACGGAGAATTCAAAGAAGGAACCCACAAAACCTGCATGAATTAAAGGAATTTTGTCGTGAAGAATGGAAAAAA